ACTATACAAATACGTATGACGTCTGATCAACATTTAAACTGTAGTAAAAATAGAGTCCATGTTTAGTAGTTAAACATTTTTTGCTGCTTATTATGTGTAACAGACATATTCTGTCTTTGAATTTAAAAATGTTTATTGAATAGTTGAAAATCTTATATGGAAATATGGTAAAGTTTTAAGATTAACTTTTATTTAATTTTACCCATGAACTATGGTGCTATATTAGTCAAATATGTTTCATATTTTTTAAAAATAAATATGAAATATAAATATGAAAGTGGGCGGAGTCAAAACTCATATTTATTTTAACGGACTTCTTTCGCCGTTTTGTTTGAAAAATCTGATAAATACAAAACAACTTTATCTTGAATTTTGTTTTGAAAACTGTCTAGAATGATAGAAAATGGTCTAACTAAGAAAATAAATCCGAACACCAATATCTTTAATTCAGTAATTAACGCTGTACAGACGTTTAAAAGAGTTGTTTTCATGACGTCACAATGTAGCGCCAAACAGCGCCTGCTTACGCATAAATTACTGCCCGCTGTACAATTGCAGTTGGTAGCAAGCACGGGGATTCGTTACCATTTTCTTTGATAATGAAATTAAATAAAAAGGTCATTTTTTCGTTTTTCGTGAAATATGGTATTATATTTTCACTCAACATGATAAAATGCCACATATTTTCACTCGCCGTCCCGGCTCGTGAAAATATATGGCATTTTATCATGTTTTGTGAAAATATATTCCATATTTCACGCAAACGAAAAAATATCCTCTTAGTATTCTAACAAAATAATAAAGGTTGATTCTGTATTTTTATAGTAGTCCAGTTCAACTAGTTGTTGTATTGATATAAACCAGGAAGAAAACCCTTCCTTTAACAAAATAAAACATTGTAACATTTCACTACATGTATTATCAAAATCTCAAATTTTTCTTTGTAAGTTGTTCACAATAGATTGTATATGAAAAAAAAATGGATATGGCCAACACAAAATATTCAACAATGTAATGTAAATGCAACATATAACTTTGATAACAGCATGTATGCTATAGAGACTGTGATTATAATGAAAACATCTTCCATTAATGTATCTTTTTTTTGTGTATGTACAAAGTCAGCGTTATCATATTTACATTCAGATATGTAAAGTTTAAGTTAGTCATATATCAGGGTAAAGAATTTGCCAATATCTTATCTCTTAGAATTGGGGGAAAAATTACAAATATTTTCTGGAAAAAAAACATTAATGTTTAATTTTCAGGGAAACTCCACAATTTCATACCTTTATGATCATAAAAATATTTTAATGAAGATTTCAATCTTTTATTTTATACACATGAATTTATTAAATAAGCAGAATGTTCCTTAACAAAATAGTACATGCATTCATTTGCAGAGTTGATATGCTTCTACAGATTTCATGTGACATTTTAAAGTGTTAACAAGGTTTTTCCATATTTGGGCGGTGTGACTAGGTGACCCTTATTTGAACTTGTCCAGAAATCATTAAAAAAAAATTTCAGATCAATTTCCAGGGAAAAACAAAACAAACATGACATTTAATTGAAGTTCAATCTTTTATTTTATACACATGAATTAATCTTATTGTCCTACTTTAAGGATGTTAGTAGTTGATTTCTCATGTGCTGATAATCTATTCATTCGTACATGCATTCATTTCAAGAGCGGATATGCTTCTACAGATTTCATGATATATGTTGCACAGTAGATGAATTATAAACAAAAGGGCCATGATGGCCCTGAAATTGCTCACCTGAATATAAAAACTCTCCATGACAAGGAGCAAGTTATATTGTAAACTATTAACAAAATTTAAACTGATATCACAAATTTCCTATTTTGTATATGAAATAGTGCATGTGTAAAATCATTACTGGTTGCTATTGCTAAGTTCCAAAAGACATGTTCATATAAGGAAATTCAATAACACCCTCCCCCCACCCAGTTGGGGCCAATTTCGATTTCTGGGTTTTTATTTGAACACACTTGTCTTGGTAGACAGTTACTAGAAGAAGTTTCATGCTAAATATCTAAACGATGGACGAATTGTTATCACAAAAGCTCACCTAGTCACTTAGTGACAGGAGAGCTAAAAAGTTGATTAATTGAAGTACTGAGCTATTTTTCTGTCCACCAAGGCCAGTTACACTACAATAATTTTCATAAAACTTTAGCAACAACATTCTTTCACATATATTAGTGATATTACACTCTTTTTTTTATTGTCAAGTTGGGCTGAATTGATTATATTTTGTAAATATTTCAAAAGATTGACTGTTATAATGATGATTGACCAACATTTGATATTGAAAAATATTTAGGATTAAATATAAATATGCCTAAAATATAAAAAGATTGCCCCACTCTTTTTATAAACTGAACATTACAGGTCAATTCAGTACTTATATACAGATATTGCTTTGGGCCATACATGTATGAGTTCTATATATCATTTATGCAAATTAAGTTATAAATTGAACTATGACAAAATGAAAACTTATTCTGACTTTCACCTGCTCACTCACTAAATTATAACCCTTAGATGGGCATAATGTCACTTTTAAGTAAAATTCTTATCACAAAACCAATTTCAATTTTGTAAATATCCGACATCCAAATAATAGCTTAATACCCTTTTAAGTTAAACTATGGTGACCTCAACATAAGATTTACCATACCTCCTTCAATTAAGCCCTGTCAAATGTGGGTACATATGTTTAAACCTCAGATGTTCCACAAAATTGCTTAAATTGTGAATACAAACCTTGCCCGAGAGACTTGTTTTCAGTGTATGACATCTTTCCCGGAGCTGTTCGGCCATCAACTTAAACTGGTCTCGTTCACTACGACATTGATCTAATTCCTTACTTAGTATCAATAGAGCCTCACATTTACTGTCCAACTTTCTCCTACATGCTGTAAACTGTAAAATATAAATATGTCATTCTATATATCAGCAAATAAAATCCAGTTGTCTGGTAGAAAATAAATTGAGACAGTATACATATCTATCATTCTTACAAATATAACAAATATCAGTACAAAGTAAAGTATAAGACTAATACATGTATAACAAAACAAAAGTGTGGAAATTGCAAAATATAGCTGGAAAATAGCCCTGTATAAAGATGACAAAATACAAATGCATTTCTTGCTCCATGTGATTATAGTATCATGTTTTAACATTATCCATGAAAAAATGTCAAATATATTAAACCTTACACTGCAAGTACAACTCAGACAGTGTCTTATTTTGAGACAATAACAAAGATTCTATCATAAGTTGTTAAGTCAATGAGTACAAAGTATTTAACAGAAAACATGACAGCATAATTCTTGTCAGATCATAATCTTTATATAGCTCATCCAAAATACAAATAACTGTATAGGCTGTGATTTAAGGGATCATTATTACTTGGAAAACTGACAGTGAAAAGAATTTATATTAAATCTTTATTCTTTTGGTCATAGGCTAATTTTTATTTTTGTTTCATGAAATACTGACACTTAAAATTTATTTAGGTCATATGGCAATTTTCCAGCTTTACTGGTGGAAGACCTAAGCATTATTTCAGGTGCAAGCAAGTACCTCATTTAGAACCAAAGCCATTCTGTCAGCTTCCTGGATAGTTACCAATCAGCGGCAGCAGCTAACCGATGTACTAATTGGTATTTGTTCCTCAGGACCACTTTAATTTGTGGACAAAATTAATGAAGCTTTCAAACTTACTATAATGTCAGAGGATTGATTTTATTGTTCAAAATTTTTATCTGAATTCTTCAGAACATACACTTATTATAATTCATGGCAACACAAATCTTGCATTAATACTGTTATGCACATTGTAACACTATGCCAGAGTGGGGACAGGTGGAGGGTTATAACTTTGCTCATTTACCCTGATGACCCCTCCACTGCTGTAAGGGTGGGGGCCAAGGTTACAATTGTTAAATGTTTTACATCTGTATATCATGTTATTCAGAAAAAAAACACTAAAAGTGTAGCAGGTGATTTTTCCTTGATTCATGACATGTAAAATGACCTCGCTCAGGCTGGCTACCAATTAGATAATAAAATTTTGTACATTGAAGCACTGACTTCCTGATTTAATGTACAAAGTTTATGAGAATGAGGAAAATGTGAGAGCTATAAACAACAAGATGCTGGTGTTGTTTTATAATTCAAGTGTTACTGTACATTGTAACATTATCCCAGGTTTCTGTTTTAGTTTTACCTTCTTGTGTATACAAGTAAAAGTCTAGGATATACTTGTTGATGCTACTTTCCAAGAATTCCAAGAATGTTAGGCAATAACTTGCAATTAACAAATCATGTGATATTAGTCAAACATTAAATTCTCATTTTGGTAATTTTACTTTCAAGAAAAAAAACATTTCAGTAGAATTTTCTCTAGTTTACAGTAAGTGCACAAAAACATTTGTGGGAAGTTTTATTTTCTGTAGACACACTACACTTCAAATAACAAGAATCACTGAAACATTTAGAAACAACATGGCTGTGCTGATAAGTCTGTGTTTAGCAATGTTTATATTCTTAGCTGGATGTGAAGGAAGGAAAATAGATAAATTAGAAAAAAGACTTGGTATTCTGGAACAGAAATTTGGACTTCAGGCATATGAAAATACTCTTATGCAAGCTGAAATAGACAATTTGAAGATTATTGTGGCAGATATAGTGGAGAATATATCTAACATTATCAGAGATGATGAAGAATCCCCAATAAATAAAATTAGTAAAACTGATGATGAATCTGCTGAAGCTGATACTTCTGATGTAGCTGTCTGTGACAATGTGTGTGTTGGAGAGAATGCTGGGGTGGCAGATTTGAAGAAGAACCTAACTAGGATAGTACAGACAACAGCATTACTGATGGATGCATTCAAAAATGAGAAAGAAGCACGAAATAAACAACATGCAGAAATTGAAACTCTTCAGAAAAGTGAAAATGTTCACAAGATTCATTTAAATAAGCTGAAAGAAAGCCTTGAAATAACACAAAAAGATTTTAAAACACTGAAAGACTCATATGAAGAAGAAAAAGAAGAAATGCTTGGGGACATTGAGCAGTTACAGACTTATCAGAACACAATGGAGGAATCTGCAGTAGAACTTAAAATACAGAATAACCAAAATGAAATTGCTAAAATATCAACAAACTTTGACAGAATTGTCAACAACATGGAGACAAAATATAACAAAATTGATAAAAATATGAGAGAAATTGGAGAAAACGTTGGGACAAGACATATATCTTTTTCTGCCAAACTTTCTGGCAGTGTTGAAAACCTGCCAGCCTGGCATACTTTAGTCTTCTCTAACATTATACACAACAATGGTAACGCTTATTCTCAGAAAACTGGACTCTTCACAGCTCCCGTGTCTGGTGTCTACATGTTTTATACACATATTCTTGGGAAAAGCCGCAGGTTAGAAATGTGTTTGCAGCACAATGGTACAAATAAACTATGGCTGTATGTTCACGGTATGACACACGGAGCTGATAGTAACATGATCGTGTTACACCTGAACAAAGGCGATGAAATCAAAGTAGTAAAACACGGACCTTATGGGAGTGCACCATTTTATGTACACAATAACTGGACAACGTTTTCTGGCTTCATGCTATACGAAACATAATTCAATGGCTTTGATAGAAAACTTGACTGTATATAATACATGTAAATATTTATCGCATATGTTGAACAAGACAGTGTTGCAAAAGCAACTTTCTTGTGAAAGACTACAGCTATGTTATCCTGATTCATGGAAATTCTTTGATAAATTGATGTTAATAACATGAAAGCAGCATATGTTTACTTTGTAAATTATAAGTAATAATAATTATGTCTACAATGTATTGCCTGTTTCATCATTGAATGTCAAACGTTTTACTCCAAGGATATTTTCACAATGAAGACGTTATCATTTCCGAGACAGTTCCCATAAATTAGCTATTATAGTGTAGAAAAGGGTACAGTAGATAATGACTCAAATATTGTAAGTAACCAGCATTTATGTACATGTACCACAAAATTGAAAGAGAGCGTCATTTTTCATTTGTACATTGTATTTCCGTATTATATATATTTCTTGATATTTTTTTCCTTTGGATATTTTTTTCTGTTTTAAATGCCCCACTTGACTTGATTTATGAAATAAATTCATATTCTATGTTTTTGAGCTTTTTGTACCCCAGTGGAATACCTTAAATTTGTATATATTCTGACCATCAGATACAAGAAAGAGATACATGTGTTCAATTAAAGTATAATTAATTTTGTTTCAAGTATTGTAAATGCACTTAGAAATACGTACATCCTACACTTGTATTTATCATATTTTTCTGCACTGAAAATCATACTGCCTGGATGTTATTAGGAGTAACATATACATGTATGCCAATGATTATGCCAATAAAATATTTGACATGACTTGACTTGCCTTTGACCTTTTTCATAGAAAAAAAGAATTTAAAACAAGAGGGCCATGATGGCCCTGAGGTCGCTCACCTGTATATAGGCCCCCGGAGCTGGGCCAGTTTAAACCCCAGGGCTTTTATTTGAACAGACTCGGAAGAGTCACCCATTAGAAGATGTTTCACAATGTTAAGTTTTTACTACACACATATAATGAAAAACAACGATCTCCCCCCCCCCTCCCAATTTTAACTCAAGGGCTTTTATTTGAACAAACTTGGTAGACACCCATAAGAAGATGTTTCATGCTAAACATCTTAGCTCTAACTCATTGGGTTTTTTAAAAGGAGATTTTTAAGTTTTTACTATACACATATAGTTAAAAACAATGACACCCCTGGGGCCGGACCAGTTTTGACCCCAGGGCTTTTATCTGAACAAAATTTGTAGACACTCACTAGACGATGTTTCATGTCAAATATCTAAACTCTACCTATTTGGGTTTTTTTCAAAGAAGATTTTTAAGTTTTTGCTATACACATATAAGGAAATTCAATGACCCCCGGGTCGGGGGCCAATTATGACCCCAGGGCTTTTATTTGAACAAACTTTGTAGACACTCACTAGAAGATGTTTCATGCTTAATATCTAAGCTCTAGCTATTTGGGTTTTTTCAAAGAAGATTTTTTAAGTTTTTGCTATACACATATAAGGAAAATCAATGACCCCTGGGGCAGGGCCAATTTTGACCCAAGGGCTTTTATTTAAACAAACTTGGTAGACACCCATTAGAACATGCTTCATACTAATTATCTTAGCTCTAGCTCTTTGATTTCTTTAAAAGAAGATTTTTTTAAGTTTTTACTATATACATATAGGGAAAATCAATGACCCCCTGGGGCGGGGCCAATTTTGACCCCAGGGCTCTTATTTGAACAAACTTGGTAGACATCCATTAGAACATGTTTCATGCTAAATATCTTAGCTCTAGCTCTTTGGGCTCTTTAAAGTTTTTACTATATACATATAGGGAAAATCAATGACCCCCTGGGGCGGGGCCAATTTTGACCCCACGGCTCTTATTTGAACAAACTTGGTAGACATCCATTAGAACATGTTTCATGCTAAATATCTTAGCTCTAGCTCTTTGGGTTCTTTAAAGTTTTTACTATATACATATAGGGAAAATCAATGACCCCCTGGGGCGGGGCCAATTTTGAACCCATGGCTCTTATTTGAACAAACTTGGTAGACATCCATTAGAACATGTTTCATGCTAAATATCTTAGCTCTAGCTCTTTGGGTTCTTAAATAGAAGATTTTTAAAGTTTTTACTATATACATATAGGGAAAATCAATTTTGACCCCAGGGCTTTTATTTGAACAAACTTGGTTGACACTCACTAGAAGATGTTTCATGCCAAATATCTAAGCTCTAGCTCTTTTGGTTTTTTAGAAGATGATATTTAAAGTTTTTTCTTTTGGTTGCCATGGGAACCAGAGTTCTGCATGGAATTAAATTCTTTGAACAATTTTGAAAGGTGACCACCAAAGGAACATTCCTGTGAAGTTTGGATGAAATTGGCTCAGCGGTTTATGAGGAGATGTCATTTAAAGTAAAAGTTTACGGACGTCGGACGGACGCAGGACGCAAAAAGCAATCACAAAAGCTCACCCTGTCACAAAGTGACAGGTGAGCTAAAACCACAAAGAAAAAAAATCATTTTATAAACAATATATTATGTACATGTATTAACTGTTTATCTTCAGTCGCTCTTCACTGTTCTGATAGTCTGTCTCTTTAAATTAGTGTGAACATCAATGTAGAAACAAAACCAAATACTGACCCATTGAAATAGACGGGGATCTCACTAGGATTTTTAAAATAGGAGTCCCAAATCATGCTGAATATGCTACGCCATTTCTGCTGTTAGTATTTCTATACATGCAGTTTATATACATGATGAATAAACAGAGTAAGGGGTGATGGAGTCAGAGTTTGAACAGAGAAAAAAGCTTATTTATGAAAATGGTAATATTTCCCAAATGGGAAACAAGTGATTGAAAATATCTGAATTATAATTTCAACGTAAAGTACATATCTGTTCGGACACATGGTATTGTAGTGTGGACAATTTAGGTAATTTTGGTTCTTCATTTACATGCCTCAGATGTGTCAACATAATCATAATAAACAAACTAGTTTATAAGATAGGAGAAGAAGCTAGTTGTACTGTGTCAAATTTTTAGATTATGATATCAGTATGGAAAAATGTTCTAAAAGTGTCCGGTTGATGGTCACTGATCAGTAATCGAAAGAATGATATTCACAATCCAGTGTTACACTCAGTTCTCTCCAATAAATTATTAAATAAAGCACAATACACAGAATGTGATTGATTTTAAGGAAATCGAAACTTTGAACACTGTAGTTGAGGACATCGTAAGAGGTTGAGATATGATGATGCATACAAAAGTTTATCTTAACTAAATTGTTACGCTGGCACCAACTCTTTGGAGCATAGGATGGCCCTAGTAGATAGATGCTATTCTTAGAATAGTCAAGCCAAACAAAATTGAAGAATAATGCTGTTTACCTATGGAAGACCTCGATTTATGCCTTATTCTCATCGTTTTATGCCTTCCCATCAATTTGTGACCTAAATAAATGTCTGGTAAAAATACTTCTGAAGGACATACACCATCCAGAAATGAATCCGGGTCAGCTCGGCACTTAAACGTACTCAGCCCCCGAGTCAGCTCGGCCCTATTCCAACTCGGCACGGGTCAACTCGGGCCACTTTTTAATTATTAATTTAGGTTAGTGTTATCACTACTTATTGTTATTATTGAAATTATTTATAAAACACGGATTGACAGTTTCAGAACTAGCAGCAGAAAGGCTTTTCTTACCGGTAGAATTGCGAGTACAGATAACCGATTGCGTATCTCAATGTATTTCTGACTCGTGGTAGGTTTAACCGTAAATTTAAATACCTTCAGTGTCAAACAATGTGTTGAAATATATACTGAGAGGAAGCTAAGATCACCAGCTTTTTATTGGTGTAAAAATTTCAAAATCAGACATTTAATCGCCCCAAACTAGCGATTTAAACAAGGCTAAAATTGCATCCTTTTGCAAGCTAAGGGAAACTAAGGGAAACAACTCTTGCTTTTTCACTCAATATACCTCGGTTATTTACGTAGTTCGACAGAGACAGAGTATATAATATAAGATATAATTTTTTTTTAACTATACTTTATTTCGGCAGAAGTACAATGTATAATTATATAATAATAAGATATTTCTTATTATTCATTTACCTTAACAACATGCAAAGCAAAGTTAATACGTAATATATTTTTGTAAAGTGGGCTGAGTTGACCCGTGCCGAGTTGACTCTTTTCCTCCGAAAACTACACTAGTTTTATTAAACACTCAATTTGACAATTCTATCCAATTGAACAGGTGTAAATGTGCTTACCCTACAATCAGCTGATGACTTATAAATTACTTTAAAATATTCGATATTGATGTTATAATTTATCAAACACACTTACAATTAAGACCAAAAAATTTTCATCATGCTGTAAGAATTTACTTAAGACTTTGAAACATGTATTGATCAGATCGGACTGAAAATCATCATGCGAACTTTTAGTGGTGTGAGCACCTATATTTTGATGACATCACAGGGTGAATCAGATTTCACGAATCGATGGGTAAGCGTCCAGCTGAGCAAGGCAGTTGCTTTTAAAAGTAATTTAAAGTTTTTAAACTTTTAGATAATGAATTTATTTAATAAATACACTTATTGCCCTGTATGTATGTCTGATATTTGTTGTGCAAGTGCAATTTTTCAAAATAAGACTAAGAGTAGAAAAGCATACATTACAGTAATGATAATTTCACTTTCCCTTTCAGACTCAGAGGCTTGGCCTACTTACATATTGTATTGGTCACCATTATTGAACTTAAACACGGGAAAATTTAATTAAAACACCTTTAAAGATGAGCTAAGATGCCAATTTAGTGTTAAGGAATAAAGATCCAACAACAATAAAATTGAAAGAAGTGAGTGATGTTCTTGTTGTCTATCACAGGAGCTTGAAATTCTATCAATAATTGCCCTAAAGTCAAATTCCCCAAAAAAATCCATACCCTATATATTATACGGGGAAGTCAAAGACCGGGCCCGCGAAGCGGGTCCGGGCTTTGGCTTGCCCGGCTATAGACTACACGTGTATATTTAAAAGAAAATCAAAAAAAAAAAAACAATTAAAAAATATATAGAATTCTATACCTATCAAAGAAATTTTCAGTGTCAGTTCTAGTCGGGCGTCGCCATTTACAATGTAACTCAATGATAATAGGCGGGGTATTCCGATAACGGAACAAATCTCAACTTTTCGGATTAATAATAATCGTCGAGTGTTCCGAGTGAAAACGGAAGCGGTGCATGTAATACCGAATGACACCTTTACAACTAGCAATGCTACACTCGCTAGGTGGCGCTGCGCAGCAAAGTGCGCAGTAATATGAAAATGGCAACCCCAGAGATTCTGGTGATTCCCTTCTAATTTTACCGGTATTTTCTATATAAAAACGTTGTGATTGGTCAAAGAAAACGTCATAATTTTTAAATAGAAACAATTGCGCATGTGTAATAATAAAAGTCACGCTTTCCAGAGTGCAAACGAAAACATGAGGTAAGTTTAAAGATTTTTAATAATGTTTTTTTTTCTTTTACGCCTTATTACACTGTACACACATATATAAATGAGTAAAGGAATATATGATTGATGGATATTAAGTAATATTTCAACAGAAATTTGTTGACAATGCATCGAATTTTCAATACAATCATGACCTTGTTTTTCCAGTAGACATTTTGCCTTATCTCGGACATGTATAAGTTATGTACGAAAAAAAACGAAAGTATCCGTATGATGAAAAATGTAAACAACAGCTGATTTTGTACACAATGCAGTGCGGATACCTTGGTTTTTTTGATAGTTAAGATATTTTATGGTGAGACAATAATTTTAAAAGAAGAAATATAGATAATTTGATCAGTTCACAATCATTTCGGTGAATGAAGGCATTGGAATTGAATTATTGGCGTATAAAAATTCATCTTTCTAGTAGTTTAGAATTGCATTTTTTTTCTTCAGAAATAACATTATTCATTTTGTGTTTTAAAATTGTTTCTTTCTGTTTCCTCAAATCTTGATATTTGGCGTATGATTTTAATCATTTCAAGGTATGATTAGTCTATTTGATTCATCACATCTTTTTATGATGCAGATCTCATTATAATCATTATTACATGTGTTTTGCTGATGATGCTTTTTTAAAACAGGCTGAAGAATTGTATGTAGTATTTATGTTTTTTAGGCCATATCCAATGAGCATACATTTAGGTCTACACCAGATGCTGGATTCAATGAAATTCAGCAAAGTAAAAACTTTCTTTTTCAAATTCAAGTCTCATTTGATTTTTTCAATCCATATATTTTTATCATAAATTTGAATGCTATCCAGTATGTTAAAAACTTCTAGTCTAGGATTTCATGAAATGTTTCTCTTGTGACTATAGTTAATTCTGTTGTTGTTTTCTTTTTTCAGACACACATAACCCAGTAACATTATAAAAAACATATGTAATCTTGAAGACACATCATAGGTAAATATATTGTTTTCAATATTTATTATAACATAACAAATAAATGACATTCAAGTAGAACTACTATATGTTGTCATATAAATTTACAGTAAAATATTTCTTGAAACTATGTTTACATTGACAATACATGTTTGAACATGTGCAGTTGGTCAAAATTCTTTACTGTTTTTTTGTTGTTGTTGTTGTTTGATTTACTACTTGAAAATTTCAAATGTCATGATATTATATGATTGACCAACATCATCACTATCTCTATAGAGCATTAAAACTTTTAATTTCACTGTTTCAGAATAGTTTTCAATTGACAGTAATGTAGAAACATATTGAGGATTTCATAAAGAAACCACCAGAAGAACCAAACAGCTATCTTTTACACCGAGGAATGTTAGTGATCCAGAAATAAAGTGTTCATCCTTGTTCTAATTAAACAGTTTTTCAGCATATAGATCTACTGTGTTGTGTTGCAACATTACAATGTTGAGTACATTTTCATACCTTGAATTCAGATAAGCCAAATTTTTGACGAAAGGCCACTGTTGAAAGGTGGTCTCTCTTGACAGGTGGTCTTTAACTGATGAGTGTTACATGAACATATATATATATATAGCCCTTGCTATTTTTAATCTACATGGTGAATGATGTATTAGTATAACTATTTTGGAATGTAGAGACCTCTGTTTGTTTGTTGTTTGTTATTGTTGTTTTTTAATTTCGCGTATATTTTGACATTTTCAAGGTCATTTTCCATCTAAATGCTTAAACATGATTTTTTTTTTCATAGATAAGCAAGGTCACTTTACTACAAATATTTTGGATGGTTACAATCATAATATTTGCTACCCTTCCCCTCAGAACTGACTGGGGTCAATTTTTTGCATTTTTCAACAAATTTCAGAAATTGTCAATCTTGCAATAACCAATAAAGAAAATTCACCAAAAATTTATTTTCTCATATTTTCCTTCAAAACTACTTTGAAAGTTCATCCAATACATTACACAATTATAAAATGTAATAAAAAACAAAGAAAAAAGTTTTATAAAAAATCATGTAGCATTGCTATTACAACGGAAAGAATGAAAGGATTTTTTAACGACTTCCCCGTTCATAGGCTTTGCCTAATTTCATATTATTTTTATATATAGGGTATGGATTTTTTTGGGGAATTTGACTTTAGAGTTTAGGGCAATTATTGATAGAATTTCAAGCTCCTGTGTTGTCTTAGTCAAATAGATTAGACGTTACAGGCTTGTTATAGTTTTATGTTGGTCAAGCCTGACGTCTAATAGTTATTGGTCAAAAACGCGTAGCATTTTGAAAAATTAAAAAAAATGTCTATTGACTTGCCTTTCAAGCTTTATTCAAAAGCTTATCTTCTGTTCTTTCAATTGCATGGTCTATCAGTAACAAAAAGTTTCAAACAATGTACTTATTAATTAAAAATAAAATATAAATATCAATGTATTTCGCTCATCGGCCATACTGGTTAAGTAAAGCGTTTTACAGATTGATTCCAATTTTTTGAATGGAAAAATATTTTCGAACACACTGACGGTGCATCGGCAATTATTTCGTTGAAAAAATATTCCGTTAGAAACTTCTGGAGTCATTTAAACACTTGCATTTGAATTAGCCAATCAGATTTCGTGCAGTGTATGGCGGCCATTTGTATATCTGCTGTACATGGAATTTAATTAAATGAGAGGATTTAATCATGACTTTTCAGGTGTGACAGTTCAATTATTTTGTTGAAAGGTATTTAATCTTTAGTTTTGTTCATAAATAGTTCAAAATTTATGTAAATACACGCTGTTTTAATTGTTAAAATGCATTAGATCTAAATCGATGTCTAATGTCAATTTTTTGCTACACGATTTTGCAAAGATCTGTTAAGACCTAACGTAACATGGAAAATGAAAAATGTAAAATATCAGATTAATGAATGATATATATGAAATAAGTTACGTATAGGTCTTATAATTAGGACTAGTGTTGTCTATACACAGTACGTGCATTTTATTTCGTTATGGATATTGTATGAAATCTACCTCATTCTTCAGCGCTTCAAATTTACTTTCAAGTCTTGAATATTCCTCGTCTGATATACGAACGGTTGCAACATCCTGTCGCCGTCGATTCATTTTTTCAACATCCTCAGCTTCATCAACATTTCATTCAAAGCCAGCAGTGACTGCAATATAACCGTAGCTTCGTATGATATTTTTGATTGACAATTCTCAGAGAGAACATGTTCTCAAAATGCGCGGTATGAGGGTTGTTAAGTAATAGATATGTTTCTCAAGACGATAATAGTTTTTCATTTCCTTCATTTAATGAGATTAACAACAGAATAAAATAGAGAATAGAATAGAAAATAGAATGTCGCACTGAAATACTGACAATATAGCAATTATTGGGCATTAGATTATTTACAATCACTCTTTGCAGACGACAGTTCTCTTGCAGTAACATCAAACAATGTAAACACAATCGAAGAAACTATTAATCACGACCTTGATAACATTCTTACTTGGTCAAAGCAATGGTTGGTTAATTTTAATCCAGCAAAAACAGAAGCGATGTTCTTTACATATGTCGACGTAACCCAGTCGGCAGTTACTTGTATTATAGGTGGGGTAATATATCGACTGACACAGACACAACAAATGCAAATATCTGAAATATCCAAGATATTTATTAAAGAATATATTTACACAATATAAATATGATTATACAACTATAACATGGAATGGTCAAATATGAAGTGTCATTAACAATTATAACATAAGGTTGAGTGTATGATGAACTACATGTACAATTAGGTAAGTATTCCAGGTAAGTATTGTAAGTAAACATCTCTATAACTTATCAAAAACCTATTTAAATATACCAATAAAGACATTCTCTAATAATTTAATAGTTTAAATTTTAACTCTCAAAGATTACTAACCTGAAATATCCAAGATATTTATGTAAATAAGGTTAAATTAAGCCAAGTTATCTTTTTAAAATGTTTACGGTAATAATTTCCCTTTAAGGCCAAACCAAATCTATTGTGGTGTTATGTGTTCATGTTTGTCTTTGTTCCTTTTGTATGGATAATTAAACCGGTTTTGCAAGTTTAGTAATAAATAATTGGTTTTGGTATGCAAGTTATTTTTAAATAATTTGGTTCTAAAATAGCTAATATTTCTTGGTAACTAACCACTCATTTCATTGCATTCAAGGCAATAACATCTCTAACACTCTAAAAATAGACTATTTCTTTATAAAAATATTAATAAATTTATTATTATTCATACAATTATTATTTTAAAAATCTCATCTATTTAAAGCCTGCAGACATTTTCACAAAAAAATCTTACGACAATTTTTTTATCGTAAGAGAAATCTTGCGATAAATCTCCTTTTCACAAAAAAACTTAAGAAAATCTTAAGTGCAAAATCTGTCGTAACTTTACGATAGGTCTCCCCCGTTCGTAAGTGTATTTTTTTTTCTCTTAAGGGTAAAATATCGTTATCTCTTACCTAAACTGAATAAAAAAAACAAAAAGTTGGAGGACAAATATATATTAAGCAACAGTGTTTTTATGCTTATAAATTACCAAATTGAGGTATAATTATTTTTCAACATAAACATTTGTTCTCATGATTGATGACGTCATGATGGGAGGGTTATGAATAGTTTAAATGTAAATTATACTTGTAGTATATTTTAAAACTAATAATTTGTACATTTTGGTGAGTTTCGATTTCATTGCCAGCAGACTAGTGGTACCTTTTTATTTATTTAATAACATAGAAGACCTTCTTCTGCATCTTTTAGATATTTATAATTATCTTCAATTAAGATATAAAATGTATCAGTTGAATCATTTTTTTTTGTTGCTTATTGAAATTTTGATTGTGTTCAATAGATTTTCAAGCCTTTTATTACTTGATTTTTAAAACCGAAAATCAAATATAGAGCATGCATATCAAATCAAATGAACGTGCTAGGGATGTTTTTATCGTAAGATTTATCGTAAGTGATATTTTTATCTTAAGATAAAATTTTAACTTACGAGTGGCTTTGTGAAAATGACTTAAGATTTAACTTACGATTATCGTAAGTCAAAAACTTAAGACAAATCGTAAGATTTTTTGTGAAAATGTCTGCTGGTATGTATATATTTATTTTAATTGTAATTGTAAAATGTTTATAATGTATATATTGTAATTATTGTAATTGTAAAACATGCAATTCATAAATTTTCTATTGTAAAATATTTCTCTTTGTTATTTGTATTATAATCTTTTTAATTTGTTATAGGTTTCTTCTACACCTAAATAAATATATAAACATCATCAAAGTGTTTATTGTTAAAAAAAAAAACCCACAAAATTGGTTCCAATCCAAACTTCAAAACCCATGCAACGTGTGTGTATAAATTTCTTAAAGCTAAAAAAGTCCAAAGTAGGGTATAAAAACGTCTTGGTCATTACCAACCATTTTACCAAATACGCCAAGGCTATTCCTTGCCGTAATCAAAAGGCAACTACCACTCCTCTTGCCTTATATAAACATTTTATTGTCCACTATTCTTTTCCAAAGCAGCTGCATTCTAACCAGGGGCAAAATTTTAAAAGTCAAATCATCAAGGAACTTTGCAAAATAGCAAATGTTCAAAAAACAAAAAAAAACACTCCTTTCCACCCTATGGAAAATCCATCAGCTAAACAATTTAATCAAACCCTTCTCAAAATGTTAGGTACTCTGGCAAAAAAATCACAAATCTAAGTGGGCAAATTTTGTTCCTTCTCTTGTTCAGGCTTATAACGCCCCAAAAAACTCTTCTACAGGTTTTTCTTCCTCACTTTCTTATGCTTTTAAATGGGCATCCCCCGTCTTCTTGTAATGCCTATAATTGGTACTTTTTCCTTCTAACTCTAAACATCTTTTCTCCTACTACTTATGTTTCTCGTTTAA